TGGTTTGTTCTAGTTTGGTTCTGGTTCAGTCCTGTTTAGACCTGTTTTAGTTTTGGGTTAGACCTGGTTTAGACCTGGTTTAGTCCTGGTTTAGACCTGGTTTCGTCATACGTTGGTCCTGTTTTGGTCTTGTTTTGGTCCTGTTTTTTCTGTTTGCATTAGAGCTGTTGTAGTCCTGTTTTGGTCCTGGTTCAGAACTGGTTTAGTCCTGTGTTGGACCTGGTTTAGTCCAAATTTGGTCATGATTTAGTCCTGTTTTGGTTCTATTTTGGACCTAGTTTACTACTGGTTTAGATCTGCTTCGGTCCTGTTTTGGTCTTGTTTTGGCCCTGGTTCAGAACTGGTTTAGTCCAAATTTGGTCCTGGTTTACTCCTGTTTAGACCTGGTTTAGTCATATTTTGGTCCTGGTTTAGTTCTCTTTTGGCTCTAGTTTAGTCCTGGTTTATCTGGACTACAGTTGTTCAGTTTGTACAGTTATTCTTGCTTTAGTCCTGGTTCAGTTCTGCTTTAGTCCTGGTTCAGAACTGCTTTAATCCTGTGTTAGACCTGGCTTTGTTCTAGTTTGGTCATGTTTTTGTTCCACTTTAGTCCTGGTTTGGTCTTGGTTCAGTTCCGCTTTAGTCCTGGTTTAATGTTGTGTCTAGTTTGGTCATGGTCTAGTCCGGGTTCAGTCCTGTTTAGATCTAGTTTAGTCCAAGTTTGGTCATGATTTACTCCTTTAGTCCCTTTAATGTTTTGGTCCTTGTTTGGTCTTTGTTTAGACCTGGTTTAGTCCCCGTTTAGACCTTGTTTGGTCAAATTTTTTATTATTTGAATTAGACCTGGTTCAGTCCTGGTTTAGTCCTGGTTTGGTCTTTGTTTAGTCCTATTTTAGACCCGGTTTAGTCCTGGTTTGGTCCTGGTTTAGTCCTGGTTTGGTCCTGGTTTAGTCCTGGTTTGGTCCTGGTTTAGTCCTGGTTTGGTCCTGGTTTAGTCCTGGTTTAGACCTGGTTTAGTCCTGTTTTAGACCTGTTTTAGACCTATTTTAGACCTGGTTTAGACCTGGTTTAGTCCTGGTTTAAACTTGGTTTAGACCTGGTTTAGACCTGGTTTAGACCTGGTTTGGTCCTGGTTTAGACCTGGTTTAGACCTGGTTTAGACCTGGTTTAGACCTGGTTTAGTCCTGGTTTAGACCTGGTTTAGACCTGGTTTGGTCCTGGTTTAGACCTGGTTTTAGACCTGGTTTAGACCTGGTTTAGACCTGGTTTAGTCCTGGTTTAGACCTGGTTTAGTTTTTTAGACCTGGTTAGACCTGGTTTAGTCCTGGTTTACCTGGTTTAGACCTGGTTTAGACCTGGTTTTAGACCTGGTTTAGACCTGGTTTAGTCCTGGTTTAGACCTGGTTTAGACTGGTTTAGACCTGGTTTAGACCTGGTTTAGACCTGGTTTAGTCCTGGTTTAGACCTGGTTTAGACCTGGTTTAGACCTGGTCCTGGTTTTAGACCTGGTTTAGTCCTGGTTTAGACCTGGTTTAGACCTGGTTTTAGTCCTGGTTTTAGACCTGGTTTAGACCTGGTTTAGACCTGGTTTAGACCTGGTTTAGACCTGGTTTAGACCTGGTTTAGACCTGGTGTCTCTGGTGTTTCAGGTGGAGTTTGAGGAGCTGCTTCAGACTAAAACCGCCGGTCGTCTCCTCGAGGGTTTGAGTCTTCGGGACATTTCTCTGGGAAACTCGGTCCCGGTTTTTAAATCGGCCAAACTCATGAAACCTGTGAACACCAACGAGGAGGGCATGCCCGAGGAACTCAACTTCGAGGTGAGACTCACACTGGTCCAGTCCTGGTCCAGACCTGGTCCAGTCCTGGCCCAGTCCTGGCCCAGTCCTGGCCCAGTCCTGGCCCAGTCCTGGCCCAGTCCTGGCCCAGTCCTGGTTTAGGTTTGGTTCAGTTTTTTGTCATATTTTGTGTAATTGTTTTTCAGATTATTCAATCCTGATTTAGTCCTTTTTTAGTCCTGGTTCAGTTCTGCTTCAGACCTGGTTTAGTCCTAGTTTAGACCTGGTTTAGACCTGGTTTAGTCCTGGTTTAGTCCTGGTTCTGGGGTGTGTAATCTGTAATCTGTAGGGGATTACATTTTAAAAGTAAACTTCCCAACACTGGTTATAAATAAATAAACTGAACCGTTGCGTTTTTGACCCTTTGACCTTTGCCCTGTGCGTGCGCCTCAGGTCGACCTGGAGTACAGCGGCGGCTTCCACCTGGCCATCGACGTGGACCTGGTGTTCGGGAAGTCGGCGTACCTGTTCGTGAAGATGCGTCGCGTGATTGGTCGGCTCCGGCTGCAGTTCACGCGGATCCCGTTCACTCATTGGTCGTTCTCGTTCCTGGACGATCCGCTCGTCGACTTCGAGGTCAAGTCTCAGTTTGAAGGACGACCTCTGCCCCAACTCACGTCCATCATCGTCACGCAGCTCAAGAGGGTCATCAAGAGGAAGCACACGCTGCCCAACTACAAGATCAGGTACTACAAATACTACTACTACTACTACTACTGCAATACTACAAATACTACTGCAATACTACAAATACTACTACACACACTACACACACTCAAGAGGGTCATCAAGAGGAAGCACACGCTGCCCAACTACAAGATCAGGTACTACTACAAATTAGAGCCCGGCCGATATATCGGTTGGCCGATATTATCGGCCGATATGAGCAACTGGAAGCATATTGGCTATTGGCCGATATACTTGCTGATAGGGGCCGATATTTCCCGTGGGCAGGTTATACCTTGTTATACGTCGTTATAAATCTTAGACTCTCGACATTCTGTTTATTTAATCCAATTTACAGATAAATGTTCTAATATGTGACTCTGCATCAGTGTTTATCTGTGGAGTCATTTGTGTGTCTGTGTGTCTGTGTCTGTGTGTGTGTGTGTGTCTGTGTGTTTGTATGTGTGTGTGTGTGTGTGTGTGTATGTGTGTGTGTGTGTTTGTATGTGTGTGTGTGTGTGTGTGTGTGTGTGTGTGTGTGTTGTGTGTGTGTGTGTGTGTGTGTGTGTGTGTTGTCTGTGTGTGTGTGTGTGTCTGTGTGTGTGTGTGTGTGTGTGTGTGTGTGTGTGTGTGTGTGTGTGTGTGTGTGTATGTGTGTGTGTGTGTCGTACTGTCCCTGAACACACCACAGAGTCACGTCACACGTGTGTTTGTTTACAGACTCAGGTCCAAACACTGAGATTATTTTCTTTTTACAGACGATCAGTTTGAGTCTGGATTAAAAGGACTTTTATTAGTTCAGACTTGTGATGTGGGAGGAGCCTGTGTGATGTGGGAGGAGCCTGTGTGATGTGGGAGGAGCCTGTGTGATGTGGGAGGAGCCTGTGTGATGTGGGAGGAGCCTGTGTGATGTGGGAGGAGCCTGTGTGTGTGTTGGAAATATGTCGACTTTGAAGATAGTTTTGGTTCGTTCTGATTGGTTATTGATGATGTGTTGTGTGTCACATAATCAGTCTGTTTTCTATTGATCTGTTGTAAAGTGATTATATTGTTTGTATATTTGTTTCTGCAGCTGCATTGATGTAAATGAGTGTGAACAGACGTGTGAATGATCCACATTTACACATATAATGAATGACCGCGGCGCAGCAGTTACGGCTAAAGGCTCATAACACTAGTTTCTTTACTCTCTAGTTGTGATGAGTCGGTCGTAAACGAAGCGGCTCTTAGATCCGGCTCTTTGATCCGGCTCTTAGATCCGGCTCTTAGATCCGGCTCTTGGAAGTGAACGACAGGAGCCTGATCCTTACTGGGAGTCGTGTTTTCTCTTTCTCTCATTTTTTTTTCTCTGCACGTCGCGTTCAGACTCGTGGGAGTTTGACAGCGGCTAAAAATGAAATGTTCAAAAAATCTGTGTGTGCAGAGGGTAAAACAAAACGTGCATATTTATATTCAGCATAAAATAAATAAACCAGAACTAATCTTGAGCTCAAGAGACGGAGAGAGACAGAGACCGAGTCCCGACACTCAGTCCTGGTTCAGTCCCGGTTCAGTCCCGGTTCAGTCCCGGTTCAGTCCCGGTTTAGTCCTGGTTTAGTCCTGGTTCAGTCCTCGGTTCAGTCCCGGTTTCAGTCCTGTTCAGTCCTGGTTTAGTCCTGGTTTAGTCCTGGTTTAGTCCTGGTTTAGTCCTGGTTTAGTCCTGGTTCAGTCCTGGTTCAGTCCTGGTTCAGTTCTGGTTCAGTTCTGTTTTAGTCCTTTGACATTTCATGTAAAGAGGCAGAACAACAATAAATGTTTCCTAAATAAACCCAGTTTAAAATCCACTGGAGCCAAACCTAATGTTTTTTTTTTTTTTATAATTTAAGATTTACAGTGATTTTTTTACATCACTAAATATATCAGTGATTATATCGGCTGCTCCAACTCACATTATATCGATATCATATCGGCCACAACAAAATCCATATCGGTCGGGCTCTACTACAAATACTACAAATACTACAAATATACAAATACTACAAATACTACAAATACTACAAATACTACACATGCTCCCCAACTACAAGATCAGGTACTGAAAATACTACTATTACTATTACTACTACAAATACTATGTACAAAGTAAAGTAAAGTAAACAGTTAAGTAAGTAAAGTAAATAAACTAAGTAAATAAAGTAAAGTAAATAAAATAAGTTAAAGTAAAGTGAATGTTTCTGTCTCACGTTTCAATGAACAATGAACTGAATATTTTTTATTTGATTTGATTTTATTTTTTTTAAGTCTTCTGCAGTGGTTTTAAATCGTCCCTCAGATTTTAAACCATCTCGTAGAGAAACAGGAAGCTCGTGCGCTGCTTCCTCCTCCTCACTGACGCTCAGCGTTTGTGGTTTTTGTGTTTTGAGTTTGTCTCTGGTGAAACTCCCACACATGAGTCACCGTCCGCCCACTTTACTGACACATACACAAATACTACAAATCAAACTACTAGTACTACAAATACTACTGCTACTGTTACTACTGTTCTACTGCCGATACTGGAGGAAGAGTTTCAATCTGAAACTGCACAATTCTGCTGTTTTTACATTTGGATTTAGTTTATATCAGTGATACTCGAGAGCCACGTTGGAAAAGTAAAATCAGGAGGAAAGACACTTTTGGGTTCAGTCAAGTGTTAACGGAGGAAACAGGGTCAGATTTTTGACATTCAAATGTGTCTTATTCAGAAACTAGAGGAACTATTGAAATAAGTAAAGTATCAGAATGTAGGAAAGAGTTACACTCCAACAGGGTCAAGTTAAACCTGTGAGATTCTTTCAAGTTCAAGACAAAAAAACTAAAAAACTCATGTTGGTAACGGAGGGAATGAAATATGCAGCACTTTTTGGTCAATAAATCCAAACAGTGATAACTCTTGGTTCTCACTTCCATATCCTTAACAAACTGGTTTGAATATTTGCTTCATATAGTTTTCTACCATATGGTACAAGATTAGGTTGAAAAACCTCTGACTTTTTGACTCATGAGATTTTTTATGAAGAAAGTTCATGGTAACGGAGGGAAAAGTAACGGAGGGAAAATTGTACAAACAAGTAGAAGGTGCAGGATTTTACATCATTTGTGGCTTTTTTCTTCTGAAAACTTTAATATTACTTCAAAATGAAAGAAACTATTTCTATAAAATATGTCAGTCCTTCCAAGAACATTTTTATCATTTTAAAAACTTTTTTTAAAATCCTGTCCCTTCATCAACAGTTCAAAGATGGAATAACACAAGATATGATGAAATACAAACATTTATTTACATTTTCAGGTCTTTGAAATTTGGGAAATAATTTTTGTTCCATGTTTCATTCATGGTCTGTTTAAAACATATGGAACTTTACAACCAAAAATGGAACAGAAAAAAGGTGAAGAGTTTGATAAACTCGAGTACATATGTATCTGTTCAATACACTTTTATATCAGATTTATTCACTTGAGTTTTTGCCCTTGTTGTTTACTTCTGTTTGACCAGGACCTTTTACCAAAACACACAACACCAAGTCACTTCTACAAATGTGATTTTCTACATCCCACAAAAAACAAACACATAGAGAAGATTTTCAGTAAAAACCCACAGATTCATGAGCAGAAGCTGCACACACGTCCTTCACTTCATCGACACTTCATAGATCGTAGATTTATATTGTACATTTTCTTAATCGATCGTCTGGAGAATTAACCATCGATTTTCATTTAATCATTAACTTTTAATATTAAAAATATCATCATATTATTACTGTTACTAATCTGCATAAATAAACTCAGCTTCACAACAGATAAACAGAACGACTCGAGAGATGATAAAGTGTTTAATTCACTTTTGACACATTTGTTTCTGTTTTACAAAAATGAAACTTAAACCACATGACTCATTTACATAAACTAATGTGTGATAAAAACAGTTGTTTCTTGTGTCTGATGTGGTTCAGTTTGTGTTGGACTGAAGGACACGGCTCTGCGTCTCGGTCGGTCGGTCGGTCGGTTTTGTTGGTCTTGTTGGTGTTTGTTGATCGTCGGTGGGTTCGGGTCATTTATACCTGCACCTGTGTATCACTGTTCGCTGGTGTCACGTCGCCTTTAGGAAAAATCTGTGTATCATTCATTTGTTTTTCAATATAAAAACAAAAATAAGAAAACGATTTTGTGTTTAAATGAAGAATGGAAAAAACGGATAACGGCTGTTTCCCCGTTTCCGTGACTTCAGTGACTGATGTCGGACGATGCAAACGAACTGAACCAGGACTGATCCAGGTCCAGACCCAGACTGAGACCAGACCGAGACCAGACCGAGACCAGACCGAGACCAGACTGAGACCAGACCGAGACCAGACCGAGACCAGACTGAGACCAGACCAGGACCAGACTGAGACCAGACCGAGACCAGACTGAGACCAGACCGAGACCAGGACCAGACCAGACCAGACCGAGACCAAGACCAGACCGAGACCAGACCGAGACCAGACCAGACCAGAGCCAGGGACCAGACCAGACCAGACCAGACCAGACCAGACCAGACCAGACCAGACCAGACCAGACCAGACCAGACCAGACCAGAGGACCTCAGAGCCCACGCAGGGCAGGAGCTCGAAGCTCAAAGTATGCTCTGGTCCCGCTCTGGTCTTAGTCTGGTCTGGGTCTGGTTCTGGTCTGGTTCTGGTTCTGGTTCTGGTTCTGGTCTGGTCTGGTCTGGTCTGGTCTGGTCTGGTCTGGTCTCTGGTCTGGTCTGGTCTGGTCTGGGTCTGGTTCTGGTTCTGGTCTGGTTCTGGTCTGGTTCTGGTCTGGTCTGGTTCTGGTCTGGGTCTGGTCTGGTCTGGTTCTGGTTCTGGTCTGGTCTGGTCTGGGTCTGGTCTGGTCTCTGGTCTGGTCTGGTCTGGTCTGGGGTCTGGTCTGGTCTGGTCTGGTCTGGTCTGGTCTGGTCTGGTCTGGTCTGGTCTGGTCTGGTCTGGTCTGGTCTCTGGTTCTGGTTCTGGTCTGGTCT